TTACACTATAATAATGTACAGCATAGCAAATGTTTGTTTTTCCAGCTGTGTTAAATTGCAGTGGGTTCAGTAATGCTTTTTATTTATTGGTGCCTAAAAAAAGCGGTGTCTCTTCCCAGACAAAACATGCTTTTTGCTGAATGGTGCAAAAGCCTGTGACATGATGCTGACATTAGCTAACAGTGTGGTAGAACTCCAAACCAAACGGAAAGCTATTCTTACATCTGATTATGTTTGAGATATTATCCTGCATAATCTTGATGCTTGTAGATAAAAAAAATATATAAGGACTTTGGATACTGATTAAATGCTCTTAGTTTCATTTTGATCAGTGCATGAGCTCTAAATCTAATTTAATAATTATCTCAAATAATCTGAATGTCAAATAAGGAAAGAAATGTACCTCTCTTATGAAAAGAACCATGCTTTTGTGTAATTGATAACTTGGAGGATGGACTAAGTTATGTCACCTACACCTCTCTCTAGCGTGTAGATCACGCTGATGGACATCAGTGAATGTGATGCGCATATACAGAATACAGAGCGGCTTGTTTTGCACAACAGTCCAACCAATCAATGGGGAGGTCCAAGTGTATCGGTCTGATCAGGGGTGTCTAGTCTCTACAGAAATTCCATTTGTACCGATGGAGAGCAGCCCGACTGGACTACCCTGCAGTATTCCAAGACCTGTGGGCTCATTCTGGCATGACAGTCTTCCAGAAGCTAAAAGCTTGTTCTCACACTGCCCACCTTACAATGGATTCTTGAGAGACGATACGATAGTTATGACATGGATGCCCCTACTCAGCAGACCTGAACCCCACTGAACATCCTTGGGACTAGCATCTGGGGTGACTTGTGGCCTGTGTGACTCACAGACCAGGCATATACAGTACTTGCCCATGCTCTATAAGAAACACGGGACAGAATTCCTCAAACACAGCATCTGCAACCAGATGCAAAGCATACGTTTCAGATATACTGTATAGCTTCCCTCAATGGCTATCCTGTGACTTTCACACTAGACCTGCTGTTGATGACAAAGGGTTATAAGCTACATGAATGTAACGGTGCCATATCCGTTCAATTAAAATGTTACTGCACTTCCTAGAAAAGGGTTTGTCAATATTCTAAATATTTGTGAACTTGTTGCAGTTATAAGTGATATGTTTCTTCTGATGCTCAGTATATTATCCCATATTGCATCCCAATCAACACCATAGACACATTTTCAAGGACAAGTGTTTTGCAAGATAGGCCACCTGCTCAAACTTGCAATTAATTAACAGAAAGAAATCTCCATCACATACGGTAGCTCTCCCAACATTTCTGGAGCAAAATATAAATGGTTGATAGGCTCTGTGATTGTATTTTTTGGATCTGAAAGGCAAACTAATCTATAAATGCCCTAATACCACCCAGTTAAGGATTTAATAAACTAAGGTAAATTAGTCCATCAAACAAAAATATCGTACAAAAAACAAGGAAAATTTTACACATCTGAATCAATCCTTTACTCTTACAGTAGTGACATAACCGACACTACCATGTTTTATTCAACTCTGCTATTAATAGTCCCTTGTCAGGTCTTCAGGTACTGTAGGTAACAGAACTGAAAATCAATAAAAGGACTGGACAGCAGTTACCTATTAGTTGCCAAGTGTCATGAGCAAAACAGAGCTTAACACTACCCATATTTCTACACATAAATACCAAGTTTTACATCTGTTACTTACGAGGGTAAGTCAATAAGTAAAGGGGATTTGGGGATAATTTACTAAGTATGCTTCACAGATGGAGAACAGTCTTTATTTCAACATATTCCTCAGGACCCGGCTCATATTTCTGTAACCCCTTTCCAAAGTTACGGATGGACTGGTAATAAAATTCATGGTGTTTGCTCCCTGGGCCATTCCTGCTATGCCACATGAGACCCGAGACAAAATTCCCTCCTTGGATAGCTTGGTGCATTGGGCCAAGCATGAAAATCCAACAGGAGGAGATGCCGATTGTCAGGTGGGTGGGGTTTCATTTCCAAACCTAGCTCCTCAAAGTGCGAGAGTGCACGAGGGTCATTGTTGTAGAGTGACACTGGTGAGGAGTGCACCATGATGTTTTATGCCTACTGGTAACCAAAGGAAGCTCTCTAAACACAGGGTTTCATTGATGACCACGCCCAAGTGGTGGCTCAAGGAGCTATATCACCTTATCACAGGGCTATCCATGACCCTGTGAAGAGCTGGCAGATGTGAGTGACATGCATATGGAGATGCTTTAAAAACAAAGCAGTTCCTCCCCCTCTGTCAGGTGTATTTGGTAGATATTTCAAAAATCCAGTTTGCATATTGGATTAGTCTTCTAAATATGTAGTACTTCTACAGTATACGCACCCTGGCTAGCTCTAGTTGGTGGAGTGAGAGACCCATAATCTTAGGGTTCGTGTCCCACGTCGGGCGCCTGGTCCTCCATGATGGAGGTTGGACACAAGGCTAACAGCCCTGTCCCGGAAAAACCTGTTGTTATGGAAACATGCTAGAGGGTATAGCGGGCAAACATCCATCTACAGTATACAGTATATACTGTGCATTCAGAATGAATTAAAAGATAAGATTTTCTTTTTATAGGGCAGCACGGTGGCACAGTGGTTAGCATTGCTGTGATACAGCACTAGGGCCCTGGGTTTAATCCCCAGGGTGCTATCAGTGTGAGGTCTGCATGATCTCCTCGCGTTTGGGTGTTCGCCAGGTTCGTCCCATAGTCTAAAGACATAGCAGTAGGCTATCTGACATCTGGGAAAACTGGCCCTAGGTATAAGTGTATTTGTGTCCGTGTATGTCCTGTGACGAATTGGCGACACATCCAGTAAATCACACCTTGAGTCTATCGCCTGCCAGGACAGGTATACAGAATAGAGAAAAGGTACTTTGAAGTGTAACAAAGTCACATTTTGTTCAGTAGATTGTGTCTTTAAAGTGAGCAAAGCTATCAACCACGGAATTAAAGATTTTGATTAAAACCCAGTTCCCAATAACTGCACAGAAAAAAAAAAACTTCAAGGATCTGTAGCGTAAAGAGATCCTTATTGACTCCATAAGGAACTGGAAAAGAAGAAGCAATAACTGGGCGTACGCCCAGACAATGTCTAAGAGTTCTGTCTAGGCTTGACACACTTTGCATATTTTGTTTCAAGGAAGAAAGACCACTCTGAGAAAGTCATAGATCCTGCACCTCATGAGGCTGTTTTTTCCCTACAAGGTGGACAGAGATTACAGTGACAACAGGGAGGTTTTTCTCTGTGACCGAGTGACGCAGAAAGGCATGCAGCAAAAGACTGGAGACGTTTATGGACGCCAAGGACACAGCCAGAGATATACAGTATAGGATCAGCATTACCTGCCCGTGATGTAAAAGCATCTGCTGAGCCTCCAGGGGCTGCGTCAGCGCCTCAGATTCGGACGTCATGTCTCATTGCAAGACTGTCTCTACTTCTGGCCCCTGAAACCGGGCTCTGCGCAGAGACAGCAATGCACGAGTGTACACATGCGAACCTGGTCGCTGCTATTTATAAGGCGTGATCTCAGAGTACAGTAGATGCATAAGGCTGAATTAGGGAAGAAAGCAGCAGGGAGAGATGCATTGCTTTCAGTGACAGGGGTCATGGGTCTCCCCTGACACACGGTATCCTAATCATTTTATTAGTTTGAGCTAATTACTTTTCAATTGCCTGTTTATATACATCATATATCTATGAATTGGCTTCATTATTCTGCTCTCCTCCCCACTGACAGCTGATGTGTGGTGAGCCTTCTGGCGCACTATGGCTGCCGTCGCATCATCTAGGTGGATGCTGCACATTGGTGGTGGTAGTGGGATTCCCCATGACCTGTACAGCACTTTGAGTGGAGTGCCCAGAAAAGCGCTATACAAGTGTGAGCAATTATTATTATATGCTTATATATGCTATTAGTGCACCTCTGCAATATGTTCTTTTTGCACACACCACCATGTTTTTTTTATTTCCACTACCACATATTTATTGTTCTCTACTACATATTTATTGTTCTGGTTATTATTTATGATGTGGTAATGTACTGTCTACATTGTGTGGTGTTGTCTGCGATTGTGTTGAGAGCGCAGTTTGAATAAGAATTTCAATTCTAGTATTGATTTATGTTCAATATCCCCCAGAACATCTGCATTTAAAAATCCCTCAATACCTTAAAATACACCAATGATTTACAAATTGTATTATTACGTCATCCTCTGATCCACAATCTTAAACTTTTTTAAACACTGGCTGTGTAAAAATAATGCAACACAAAAAGGCATATTTTGATACATTATCATGGTTACAGAATGTATATTGTGATTCCAAAAATAATTAAAAGATTCTCTGGAATAGGGCAACACAGTGACACAGTGGTTGGCACTGCTGCCTCGCAGTGCTGTGGGCCCGGGTTCAATTCCAGACCTGGGGTCCTGTCTGTGTGGAGTTTGCATGTTCTCCCCAGATTTGTGTGGGTTTTTGCTGGGTTCTCCAGGTGCCTCCCAAAGTCTAAAGACGTGCTGGTAGGTTAATTGGTTTCTGGGGAAATTGGCTCTGGAGTGTGTGTGTGTCTGTGTCTGGGTATGCTCTGTGATGGACTGGCGTTCTGTCCAGGATGTATCCTGCCTTGTGCCCGTTGCTTGCTGTGTGAGGAACCTGCTCCCCAGTGACCCTGAATAGGATGAAGTGGTTCATAATGAATTCATAACAATGAATGAAGCAGTTCATTACAATTAATCATTGCCAAACACGTAATAAGAAAAGTTTTGCATCAAAATAATTGGCCACAAGCAGAGGAACGTCTGACAGCCCGACAACCCCTTGAATAATAAATAATCTTCATTCCAATAATGTTTAAGCTAGATATTTTCCATTTAAAAAATTAACGCATTTAAAAAGGTATCGGAGCTGAAATATGACATATGATAATTAACAATGATCAGAATTAACTTACCTGTACACAGAGTGGAGTACGGTCTGGTATCATATCCACACAGATCACAAAAGGGCAAAGCAGTCTCAAAGTAGTCATGACTTTTTGTCTCCAATAACCTCTGCTGTGGGGAGGCAAACAACAGGTGACATCAGAACTTCACTGAATATTTTACAAGTCTGTAGGATTTATTTTATGCTAAATAATATAAAAAATAAGCAAACAAAGCTATAATAATAATAATAATAATAATAATGCACCACTCTGTTCAGTGTATGGCCTGCTCAACCTTGGGGGTCTTAAAAAATTAAACTACTAAATAGACGTTGTGTTTAAAGTTGTTAGCGCAAATACTTTAATTCCAAACCTATGGTTTCGGGTTAGTTTCGTCACTTATTAACCTACTGCATAGTGATTTCGTTTGAAAGGAAATAAGAAAACAAGACACACCTTAAAACTAATAATAATAAAAGCACAGCATGCGGTAAAATACTCCATTTTAAATATTATAAATATATGTTCTAGCTGAATTGCTTTGTCTTTTTCTTGTTTTATTATTAAGCGCTCTTAAATGACGTGTAATTAAAGACGTAATCTTAAATAAAAAGAAAACAATTCTCAGAAAAATTTGATACCAGGTTTTTAAATCTTGATTAAAGTTTTTTGGACAGAAAGCAAAACATGATATTTACCTCTCACTGCAGTTCAAGCATTTCGCTTAAAGGAAAAACACCTTAAACGCTACCTCAGATTTTACTAATAGTATTGTCATTTTTTTTTAACTACAGTACACGCTGCAGTGTAAATGTTTTTATTAGACCTTCTTATACAGTCTACGTTTCATCAGGAGAAAATTAAGAAATCGTTCTAAATATTCAGTCTCACTGCATATTAAATAATCACCTGACCTACAAAGCTCAACACTGGCTCTGCTCATGAGCGACTATTGAAATGGGTCAGTGCAAAGCATTTAAATCTACACTACAATCTAACAATATTTTAAAGCGTATTTTTAATTTTTTTTGTTTGTTTTCATATGCAGCAGGAAATATTTTTAAAACACTCACAACTGTTTGGTTTGACGGTTTCTTTTCAAAAGTAATGATGTTGCCCTTTGCCAGTCGAAAATAAATTATAATTACATAATTCAAGAAGGTAAACTAGGTCAGCTTTTTATAAACAGCCGTGCACAAGCATTTAGCAAATGCACATTTTGTAGGAGCAAAAATGCATAGCAACGTGAAATGTTTTCGTTTTCTGTAGTTCCTTATTATTATAACCAGTACATATTTTGAAAACAAAGCTACTTTATCATAAATTCTAAAAGATGGCTTAATGCTTCGTATTCATAGAAAATATATCACATATAATTTCACGAAGGGACTATCTTCTCATTTAACCTAACAGACATTTGAATTTGGTTTTCCTGACCATCGTTATTACTCATTTCCTATTTTTGCCCTAGTTGAAATGAAAAGATTGAGCTTTTACCTAGCTTTTACTTTTTTTTAAAAATATATATAAAACTTACTTTAAAAGTAATTCCAATGTTGGGCGGAAGCAATGATCTTGATTTGTACAGTACAGAAGAACAAGCAAAACAACAACAGCAATAAAAAAAAACACGCATCTGAATCCTGCGCTGATTAATTCCAAGTTCAAGATGAGTGATCATTAAACCCTGAACCGGTGTCCGCCCGGGTCTTCGGACAGTGCAGTCTTGTCATTCTTTTGCAGCCCGTTCATGTCCCTCGGTTACTTTTGTTAGCTGAAAACAGCGCGGTCACAAGGAGAAAGAGAGAGAGAGAGAGCGACTACAGTATCTGTAGCCTCCCCCCCGCTCCCCTCCAAGCTCTCGCTGGCTGACGGTGAACCGAACATCAACGAACAACGAAAGTCTTTCTGTCTGGAGGTCAAGTTTTTTTTTTGCCCTCCTCCTGCTAAGAATAGCTTTTAGTCTATCGCCGCGGCACCGACGGCTTCACCCGCCAGACTAGGCTATCTGCCGTATCTGTGGAAGATTAGAAAAGTTCAAATGAGGTGAACGGCGAGTCACAATAAGCCCATTAACGAGCGCCAGGCTGCCTCCGCTTGTCAAAACCTAAAACCAGCGAGTTATCATTTTAAAACAGAATATCACTCGAGTAGGGGATACCAGCGCGGTCATATTCGCTGTTGCAACACCAGCCATGATGAAGGCGAATGTAAGGTTTTACCCGATAGTGGACAGTAACTTCTGTGGCGCATGAATAAAATAAGTTTGCTTTGCAGTACATTCAAATCCAGCGTGTATTTGCCGGAAAAATAAAACATTTTTTTTTTCCCCTGTTGTCGCCGTTATTTTTTTTTTAAGTGAATCCTTTACTGTTATTTGTAGAACACTGAAATATGTAACAGAAAACAGCCGTGTGTCGTGCCCGACAAGTTCAGTTTGCTGAAAACGACTTTTCAAGTCCGACCCGACACGAGAGAGCTCCGCTGCAGTCGCAAGAAGACGTTTGCAGGGGCAAATCGATGCAAACGGCGAACTTTGAAGTTCAGGCATTTGAATATGCTTTGGATGCTCAGGTTGATTAGACGCAAATGTAACCTTTGTCTGCGCATTTCGGTAACCTGGAGTGGTCTTAATACTGCGACGTGTTTTTTTTTTTTAAATTCCTCCCTGCATTTTAAAGTAGTCTTGCTTGGACTCGATGTCTACAATATTTTTTTTTTGTTTCACTGGTTAGTAAGTTATCATATTGCTTCCCAGACGAAAGTTGCATAACAAAGCAATACCACACCTATCCTTATTTGTCTACCCACAATGTATTGTAGCACGTTGCACCTGTTGTTTACCGGCCTATTTCATATTTCGATGAGTGCGCACATCACAAAACGTGTTCTCCGTTTCTGTGACTCGGACGGTTTTCTTGATGAGCTACACACCTCCAAGTGCTTCGGGTGATATCAGGTCTGGACTTGTTCTATACTCGCTCTGCGAGACCTCGTTTTTCAGTTTTGTACTTCACAGTGGTTTTGATATTTCATTACCGCCTGTTTAATCCGGTTCATATTCGGAGTTTGGAGATCATCATTTATTTCGAACATGCTTCGCTGACGACATTTTATTTTCTATAGTGGACTTATTTGCACCCTCCCATACGTAATACTTTCAGAAGACAGTAAATTAGAAATAATAATGCAATGTACAGTATCACAATATCAAAAGATGGTGGATTCATTGTAAAAGTGTGGTTTTACTAAAATATTGAACCATGATAAACGTACTGATGGAACACCGGAATCCTAACATTATCTTCTGCTCTCAACGGTCTTTTTTTATTGTTAACGCAAGTTTTTTTTTTTAATCCCCGGATCGCTATGGAAGTCAAATAACCATAAACAGTCAATACTGATATTTAATCTCAGTTTTCAACACCTCCTATGTTATTCTGCTTATAAAATTCCTAGAAATGCGCATTTCCCTAAGATCATTTTCTGTTACACTGATACGCATAATGTAAGGTCCACAACTTGATCTGCAAATGCAGTTATTTGTTTTGCAGTGACACACAGTACAGTGTACATACAGTAGCAGCATTATTACTCATTATGACTGTTCTCCCGCCAGTTCCTTTACAAAATGGTTTTATGCCTTGGTACAGCATATAGGAGGCATGCCTGTGATAAGGAGCCTGACCACAGTTGTCTTGTTTCATGACAACCTTTCAACACCATGGAAGTCCAGAGGTTTTCAAATAAACGTCTGTTTACAATAACGTATTTCATCAAAAATAACGTTTATACAGAAGAACCAGACAAATTCAGTTTGTTGAAAGAAGCATTGAAAGAATCTGTTTCACTAAGTTGGGTGTGTGGTGTGTTTCAGACTCCCACAAACTTTTGTGTAAAGAACTGCCCTCTCATATGTAGCAATAATAGCATGTTGTTTCTTTACAACCTGATGTGCAGCAGAAATAAAACATATTAGCAATTAACTATAAAGGTCCAGAGAAGAGCATTATTCAGATACTGTATTTCACTAGAGTGGGAAAAGCAGTTAATAATATAGTATGGTACTTTAAATGTACTGAATAGTGGTTATACAGTACATTGACACCTCAGTATCAATCAAATTGTGTAACACATCCATTAACTCAGTTTCTTTTTGGCTTTTACATTCTTCTGTGTGAATTCTTTGTGACAACTGCAATTCTTCTGCAACAATGTGTCGGTATGATATTTATTTTATATTTAGCATTTAGACAAAGACTCTGAGCCCATCCCACCTCAACACAGGCAAAAGAGAGCTAGAAAGTGTTAAAATGTTTTGAAAGCAACAGTAAATGAATTCTGCAAGAAATAAAAAGACCTTTAAAGGATTGTGGTGATTTTTAAATTGAGTTAATTTTCAAGTATTTTTGTGTACTGTATACAGTACATATGCCATTACTGGACAGAGATAAATTATGTTTGTAGATTATGAAATTGGCTTCTCATACCAAATTAATCTTCATAAAGATCCACTAGAAACAGTCGTCTGTTGAAAAATGTACCCTGCATGAATAAGTATAAATATTGTTTATAAAAAGAGTTATGCTAAAAAAACTTGATCTGAGAGTTTAAGCAGCAGTGCTTAAAAACTGCCACAGAGCAGTGTGCTTGAAAGTTCAAGATATATTTTTGGGAAAAGATCAATATTGCTAAAATGAGAGATATGATTGCATAAATTAAGTGATCAGTCTGTCGATATCTCAGTGTCATTTTTCAAGGAAAGTGACATTTTAACTGCTGTATTTTTTATTGTACAATAAGGTTAAAAGCAAAAAAAAGAATAGCTAAAAATTACAAAAAAATATACAGTAAATTTAAAAATAAATTTCATTTTTACTCGTGCACAAATGGTGTGACATAATGGCTAAGCTAAAATCGTTAAAGAATTTACAGGAAAAAAATGTCTAGAAAGCTGTGAAATATAGAGAACAGGAAAATATACTGTAGCTGAAAATATAATTTGTGAATTATACAATAAAGGGTATAAGAAATGTCATGTTAAGATAAAGCAATTATAGCATAACTGTTACAAGAAAATTACCATCAAGAGAAAAGCCAGAGACGTCTGATGTACAACTCTTCATCTACAGATTCAAAAAAGAAATTAGCCTGTTTCCCAGTCACTAGTAAAGATTTTCAGGGTACCAGAAATTGGAGACGGCATTCCTCCTATTAAACTCCTACTGTTTTATCCTCTCCAAAACAGTTTAACAAACGTTATCTAATTTACTTTGCAGTACTTTTAGGCTCTTCACCTCGTTGTTGCAGTCTCAAGAAGGAGCAAATTCACACTGCCATGAAATAGGTATAAAGGCTTATAGTGCACCAGGACTTTGGGTATGACACTAGCTAAAGTGATTCAAACTGATAACATTTCCTTTATCTCAAACCCTTGGTGAACCAGTTTGTTTGAGACTGTGGATATAGACTTACCAACAAGCCTACTGCAGCTGTACTGTACGGCATTAATATAGTAAGGAAGCCTCAGAACGTTAGTAACATGATGCAGAAATCAATTAAGCTCAGGTTTTTGTTGAATATTCTAAAACATTACCGCTGAGAATTTTTTTTGTGGGATCCTAAATGGACCAGCCAGTATACCCTTCTGCTCTTGGCATTCCAGAAACTGGTGGTTCAAATCAGGGCTGTTTTTAATGTTGTGCTTGAACAGCCAGGCCCACTGGGGTTAAATGGATTCAGGTTTCTCTGCCTAGTGCACAGCAGTGACCCCCTGTGGTTTGTCAGGGTTAGAAAGCTTGACTTTGGTAATACAATTTACATCTATGATGCTTATCACTTTTCGTGCCTTGATAAGTGACGTTTTGCCTTGGAAATGATCAAATGGGCCAGTTTGTTTATGTGAGCTTAGAGTCAGTAACAAAAACCACATCAAACATCATGCTCATCTGTTGTGTTGACTTTGTATAATAAATTGTAAAATTGAGTCCTGTTTCTCATTTAAATTGAAAAATAAGAAGATGGCACCACAGACGATAGTTTTGGACGGAAACTGTCTTGTGCGTTTTCTTCACAGAGAGACAACATCACACAGACAGTACATTCATCAGCTACCACAATCCATCCCACCTTCGTGAAAAGTTCCATTTTCGAGTTAGGCTCTTTGTTTAAAGAGGTCGGGACAATACGACTGTTTTTAAGGCTCTGATGCCGTGATGCTACCTGATATATTGAGCCCTACTTGCTTTATTCAAACATCCAGTACAAAGCTAAAACAAGAATGAAATTTCTCAGCCCCCCGCTGATGATAGAGGAACTTTTTAATTTTAAGAAAGAATCAATTTTGGGGATTGTTAATTGATAGATAACACATTTGTCAGATAATGGGACAGATCCCATGAAGGTGTAGTTTTACACAGAATCAGAATACTGTACTGTGTTATTTATATGTTATATTTAGTTCAAAGATGAAATACACTTAATCATCTGTCCATTTTCTCACCAATTCAGGGTTGTGGGGGAGCTATCCCAGTAAGCAACAGACTCAAGTCAGAGTACACCCTGGACGGGATGCCAGCTGGGCATGCACACACACACCTGGGCCAGTTTCCCTCAGAAGCAGTACCAGTATGCCTTTAGACTGCAGGAGGAAACCAGAGCACCCAGAAACCCACACAAACATGGGGCGAACTTAGAAACTCCACCCAGACAGCCCCACAGGTCTGAAATTGAATCCAGGGCCCCCGCGCTGTAAGGCAGCATTGCTGACCACTGTGCCACCCACCACTTAATCATGGAAACACTAGTTTAAAGGAACAGAACCTGCTTGAAGACCCCCACCTGGTAAAATCCTGAAAGTCATGCAAACCTATCTGCTTTGGGAGTCGCCAACTAATCAGATGTCAGTCCTGTTACTGAATAACAAGATGATAAAGATTATACTAGCAAGGGAATAGTCAATTGCTGAGTCTAAGTAAAAATAAAATCCACTATTCTATGCAGTCCACCCGTTTTTAGCCAGAGCAATTCTGGGTTGCACACTTGCCTTATAGAATTTGTTTAGCAATATATTTGTTCCATTAGTAAAATTAGTAAGACTTTTGACAGAACAGTAGTACGAATAACTAAAACAAATATCTCACCCTGTTTTTCTCATAATGTCAGAACAAAGTACTTTTTAAAAGAGGTCTTTACATGGAAGCACCACAAAATACAGGATAATCCTTTACCTGGACCACTGTAGAGGTCTCAATTCATGGAGTTTATATTGCATTCCACCTGCCACC